TGAGATGGCAACTGAGACTGGGCATGGTGGTGCGTGCCTGTAATCTCAGCTCTTGGGAGGCTGTAAACAGGTAGATCAGCATGAGTCTGATCTAGTAGTGAGACCCTGAACACTCTGTAGACCTTTCCCTAAAATAAAAAAAAAAAGATATGAAATGCAGTTGAAATTATCTACTAGCAGTTTTGATTATATCAAATCCTGATAGGGTTGGCCAGATAGCTCAGGGGACTAAAGTGCCTGCTTAGGCAGAGCGCAGCAGCCAGGATTTGATCCTGGGTGTGATGTGAGACTGAAAACAGGAGAATCATTATGAGTCCGACCTATGTAATGAGACCCTATAGACCCTGTACTAAATACATTTTAAAAAAAATATACACCATAAAAAGATAGGTTATAAATAAAAAATAAATCAAGACCATTACTACCGATTTCACAATTTCCTGCAACACAGGCAAGGCAAGATAGCACCCACTGCCTGTTTACATTTACACATGAAAACAGCATTCTACTTACAGCTACCTATACATACAGTGGAGGAAATCTGAAGTGACCAAAAATAAGGTAATCTACTTGCCTGGCACAAATTTATTGAGCAAATTTTCTCAGTGTGTGCTGTCTATGCAAGGTTTTATATGTTCTTCTCAAAGTCGGTTTGACTTGTCCTCTTATATATGAGTTTTCTTAAAATGCACAACAAAAGCACATTAGAATTGCAAGCAATGTTTTATACTTGCCATTGTGAAAAAAAATGTAGTTTTTTTGAAATTTCATTTTGATTTTGGAGCTCACCTACAATTTCCTCAGGTGGCCTAGCGGTACCTAACAGTTTTGGAGGCAGATAATATCATAGAAGTTTTATGTGTCTGAGTTTCATTTTACTTAAACTGCATTTATATTCTTAAATTTTATTAATTTAATTACATATTCACATGAAACTTTAAGAAAATTTCCAAGTTAAGGACCATAAAAACACCAATAATTCTAAATTTCTCTTAAAGGTAGTATTTGACACAACTACCATTGTAGTATTATAATATTGTAATCAGGATCTTGACACTGAAATAAAATATGTATATTATTTTGGTTTTACATTTCATCAGTAATTTACCAGTATTTATGAATTTTTGTTTGTACATGTGTGTAATTAGTTCTAAACCATTTTACCACCTTTCTAAGTAATGTGTCCACAGACATAGATACAATGACCTCTTCAAAGCTAGAATTCTTTATATTTATCTTTCATAAACCATATGCAATTGACTTCTAACTCATTTTCACATAGTATTGTATGTATCAATGTATCATACATCCTCTACTCATCTGTCAATGGACCCTTGATTTTTTTCTAGGTTTTGAAAATTGTGAGTAGTGGTATTGTTTCTAATGTTCAAGTTTTTTGTGAAAATTGTTTGGCTTTCTCTAAGAGAAAGCCCACAACCAAAACTGATGAGTTGTATGGTACATAAATGCTAAATTTAATAATAAAACACAAAACTGACTTATGAGTGTTGGTAAAATTTTATGTTACTATCCAAGGTTTATGACTGACCTAGTTGCTCTGTATCTTCATTAGAATTTTATTTTGTCATAATTTTTACTGTAGAAAATGATAACTTAATGTTCTTTCAACATCTGTCCATACCTTCTATTGCACCAAATTCTCAAAATAATTATGACTTAATAATATTTATATTGGCATTTTTCTTTTAGTATATCTGAATAAATTATATTCATTTTAATTTGTACTAGTACACATTTGTTATTAGTACACATTTGCATAACAAAATGTTGACATTCATGCTGGGGAATTGGTACATTATATAACACATTATAATTGTGATTTTGTCCACTAAATTTTCCCTCTACTTTCTCCCTCCATTCCTTAGTCCCATTCTGATTTTTAAAATCTCTATCTGTATTTCTTATTATTTATGTTTTATTTTGGTCCTTAATTTAACTTTTCTTTAGATTTCTCATATAATAAAAAACAAGTCATATTTATGCTTTTCTGTCTGACTCATTGTTTCTTTGCTTTTGGTCGACTAATAATTTTGCATAAATATCACATTTTTCTTTTCTGTTCATCCTTGATGGACATTTAGACTACTTCCAAGATTTAGTTATGAATTCTGTAATATTCATTTTGATACCAAGCAAAAGTTCACTTTGTATTTTCTTCTTGTGGAAAGCCTATTTCCCAAGTAATTTACATACTTTTTAGTCTGCTTGCACATGTTTTGTACATATTCCGTTACCTCCTTCTTATTCCAAGGCATCCTAAATATGCCAGTTATTTCTCAACCATTGAATCAAAGCATGCTTTTGATTCAATATTTCTGGAATCATATCTCATATAGTCACCACATATATGGCATATACATCTCTGCTTAACGCTGTGACAGGACAAGAATGTTCATCTGTGAATTTTGGTTTTTGTCTTGTGTTTGGTCTTAATTGCAATGAGCCTATCACTGAGCTCCCAGGAAAGTCCAACAGTACATTTCATATCTTGTATCTTTGCAGGCGAAACTTATTGCTCCCTGCTTTGATTCTCAATTTTGGGATAAGAGTAGTAGAGGCAGTCACCTAGACTCCTGGCTACTGTAGTTCCAGCAGTAGGTGATGTGATGCAACTAAGTTTTGATGTGTGAATCATGGTTCAAATTGGTGTGTTTTTAATCACTGTCTTGTTCTTGTGTTTATTTCTGTTCTGAATTACTATAACATAAAATTTTTCATCATTGTGTGCAGTTTATCTAATCTAAAATATTTGAATTATGGGGCAGGGGAGATGACTCAGTGGAATAAGCGCTTCAGGACCTGAGTTCAATCCCCAGTTCCGAAAAAAAAAAATTGAATTAAGGGCTGGGCAAATAGCTCAATGGATTAAAGCGCCTGCAAGCAGGCACAGGGGATTCCATCCCCAGGGCTGCTGTGCTGGCCCTACCCCCAGAGCACACTAACAGTGCAATTGAGACTGGGCGTGGTGGCACATGCCTGTAATCCCAGCTCTTTGGATGCTGTAAACAGGTGGATCACTATGAGTACAATCTAGTAGTGAGACCCTGAACATCATGTAGACATTTCCCTAAAATACAAAAAGAAAGAAAGAAAGAAAGAAAGAAAGAAAGAAAGAAAGAAAAAAGAATTTGCAGACATAGCTGAAAAGTTCAACTAAAAGCATATCATCTTTGAATAAAATATGCTTATATGACCAATATTTGATAGAAGCAATTAGAAAAGATAAGAGGTACAGACATTAAAATGCTTCATGCAAAGTTGACATTTTTTGTTAGTAAAAGAGCAAATAAAAATCAAGAAGGTTTAACTAAGGACAATGGATTAAACTTTAGGCTTGGTAAATTTGGTCATCTATGTTACACCCTTCCTTAGCTAATGAGAATATCAATAAAGCAGAAAACAAAATTATTTTAGCTTTTGCACAGAAGTCCAGACTTGGGCCCATATACCCTGAGAGTGAGCCAAAGACAATTTTAAGACTTCTTTGAAGTTCTCAATTTTTTCAGAAATTAATCAGTGGGTTGTGCAAGGACTGTAGTCACAATTTATTCAAATTTTGTGAACCACTGTTATCCATTTTAGTACATAAATTGTCCAGCTTTGAGGTTCAGTGATGTAGACAGGGTTTTTAATTCAGTATGATACAAATCCAGCAGTGATTCTTATATCGCATTTGTCAAACTGAGCCACAATTTAGAAAGATGATAGGGATATTTTAATCTTTCATTTCATATGAACTTGTAAGTTATAATAATCACTACAACTATTACCAGTTCCAAAAAATTATAACTTGCCTTTATACTCTATTCTGACTACTTAGTAATCTTCCTCTCGTTATGGAAAGTGAAGGAATTGCTTATTTATCATCTTAGTACCATGAGAATCTTGTGACATTGTTATATGAGAAAGGTATTAAGAAGAATAACTCTTTGGCTAGTAGATGGAAAGACCATTCCTTCTAGAGTAAGCATCAGGTGCAATAGCAAAGGAGGCATGAAAGGACCTGGTGTAGTTTGAAATTCTAAGATCATAGTAAAGAAAGGATCATGGGAGAGTAAGAAATGGGAAGGGTGAAGTTGAGCTATTAGAAAAGTTTTAATCTAGCAAGAAAAATGTTTGATCCTGAGAAGCATCCTAAATGAAGAAGTTTATACCTAGGATGATTGACAACGTTCTTAAAGCCTCTTTACTCAGTGCATGGTCCCTGGCCGAGAATAATAAAATCACACAGGAACTTATTAAAAGTGCATATTCTTAGTTCTGCTCTAGATATGCTGAAACACAATTTGTATTTTAACAAAAAGTATTACTTTTATATTGTGTTTATGTGTACTTAAACAAAAATGGACACCTCAACATGCGTACCTCTTGATCACTTTTTAAAATTTAATGTTCTGTGATAGGTATCTTTCTACTTTAGTACAAATTGAATTATATTATTATTCATTATAGATTGACAATATTTTACCCTCCCTGTTGGTAGATTCCACTTAGTTTAATATTTTGATATTGTAAACAACACTTTTGAGAAGTTATGTGTCGGTTACTGATTAGGACCTCTGTTGGATCTTGTTTCTCCTGAAGTGCTCTGATTCTTTTGAGTCTTGCAGCCTTAATAGACACTTTCACTGATCTTTAAACTTACTCCAACCAGTGGAAACTGCTCCACAATAGTACCTGGAAACAGTCAGACTATGGCAAAGAGAGCTGCTCCTGGGTTTATGCTTGGCATAACATATTTCCTGGAACACTGATGACGCCTGCGAGCCCAAGGTTCTACAGCTAGCCTCTGCCAGCTTCCGTACCAGTTCCGACTCGCGCAGCTTTGGCCCGAGCCACTGGAGGCGGGGCTAAGGCGCATGCGCTGAAGTACCTAACCGGCTGCGCGTGACCGTTGCCTAGCAATAGTAAACATGAAAAACTAGTTCGGGCTGGTCCCAGTTGGGCTACATTTGAAACAATTTGCTGGCTATGGAAAGGAAAGCCATGGATGTCCCGAGAGTTTCCTTCGTCCCCTGCGAAGAAGGCATTCTAAAAGCAGAAGTTCAGCTACGGGTGACCCCGTTAGAGATGAAGTTCCTTGACGCCCTGGCCGGGAAAGTGTACCGCCTCCCGATTACTATACACAATCTTGGTCGCTGGAACAAGAAAATTCGGTTTTTGGAGCCAACCAAGCCACAGGTGACTCACCACGGGGTGCTAGAAGCAGGACTTTGGAAGAGTAGGGCTCAAAAAAACGCTTCAGCCCTTGTTTGCCTCCCATTGCCTCAGGAAGTAGATTCTGGGCTCCCGAGGATGTGGGGGAAAATAGTTGAATGAAGTTTCAGGGTTTTGGTGATTTAGGAATGTGTGTGTTTTATTTTCTCTTTTTCTTGAAATTAGAATGTGGGGAGGGGAGGACGGGGCAAAGCGGATCTCTGTTTTCACCCTGATTTGGAAAGAAGGGAAGCTTTTTCAAGGCTATTCACTTGTAACAGTCCCAAATCTCTGTCTTGGCTTCATGATTAATTCTGTAGTTGCCTTGATGTACCATGAAACTACCCTTTCACACGTAAAATGTCTGAAATATTCAAGAATTGTAGCAACAATGGAAAGTTTGCTTATTTCATATTTTAACAAATATTTGTTAAGCACATATATAAAACACAGTAAGTGTACAGAATACCCATTGGATAATGCCCTGCTATCACAGAACTTAGAAACCAGTGGAGGCATTTTTGTACAAGCTCTAACCATCATGAAAATTAGGGTTCTAAGAGATTGTCCCTACTTTCTGACTTAAAGTAAATGGAATTTCATCGCTGTTTCTCATTTTAGATCATGTGTGTCAATGAATGGCTATTAGTTTGCAAGACTTTTAATATAGAAAATACTATTTTTAATATGTAAATGATGAATAGTTGAAAATGTTCAGAAGATACTAATGACAAATCTCATCAAATACACATTGGAGATATAGACAGACAGACAGATAGATTAAGAGGGCCATGAGAAAAAGTATTTTCATTTTCCTTTCTACATTTAACGTAAGGTATCATTATCTAACTTAAGCTCTCAGAAGTAAATCTTGATAAATTTATGTATATGCATATTTCCACAAAACTATGACCTGTATGAAATCATAGAATATGTTTAACAGACCAGGAGGCCATTGGTGCCCCTTCCTTACAATTGCTGGAGTAAGACCAAGATTACTTTTGCTTACTCCTGATTTTTGTATAAATGCATTAATGATTTTTGTATTTGAAGAATATTATTCAAATACAAAACTACTAGATCTAAAAGTTCTTGAATACTAAAGATCCTATAAAATTAAAAGAAAATTTTATTATTTCACTGACTTGCCACTTAATTATTAAACAAGTAAATGTATACTGGAAAATACTTTCCTTCAAAACTCAAGCTGCAGTGATTGTTAAATGTGGAAAAACTATTTTATCAATACTTAGGGAACACTTGTATGGATAGTTCCTGTACAGTAAGAAGAAAAATGATATAATTAATTCTGTTTTGTATCTAAAGTGATAACAGAACGCAATTCTGACCATCAAGTCTTTACATTGATGAGACAATAACTAGATGTGCTTTCTAATTAGAAGCTAATGTCAGTTTAACTTTTTGATGTTGTTGTTGCTACAAGATAATAATACACACTGGTGATCCTTAGTAGGCATAAAGAAAGTTACAGAAGAAATGAATTAAGGTGAAATACACTATCTTGGGAGAAATAAAATGTAAAAACAAGGTTCTATATAAAGGACTTTAGCATCATTACTTTTATAATTACTAAGAAAATGATTCCTTTAAGATACATCGAGTCATGCATATCTTAAGAATTAAGAGACATTCATCATAGAACATACTTATATAAGATATGATGGCTACATTGTTAAGTAATATAATGAGACAGGACCATCATCATATATGTGGACTATCACTTACTAAAACCCCATTGTATGGCTCATAACTGTGCTCATTTATTACCTTTGCATTGACACTATGTATTGTGTACCCATTATACACCATATACAGTGACATTTATCATCTATTGTGGATTTCTGGTAGAAAAATAAAAAGATGTAGTTCCTTTATGGAGCATAAAAATGATAGTTCTGCACTTAATTTGTAGTATTCTTTTTTTTTTTAATTTGTAATATTATCCTTCAAATTTACTGGAACCATCCCGAGAATAGTGTTTTGCTGCTGCTGTGTGGCTTCCAATTTGTTCAAAGCCGTCTATTTTTTTCTTTTTGGTGGAATCAGGGTTTGAACTCAAGCCCTTGTGCTTGCCAGGGAGGCACTTATTCCACTGAGCGATCTCCCTGGCCCTGTTCAATGCAGTCTTAAATGACTTACATTGTCCCCACTCAATTTAGACTTTACTTTTGACTCACATTTTTATTGCTTCCATTTGTAAGAATCATTTCCTTCCCAAATCCCATTTGCCTTTTAAGACTAACAAGAGGGACATTTCTCCCTACAACCTATTATCATATCATATGCAATTATTTCTACACCACTTTATACCTATTTTGTTTATTAACATTCCTTGTATTCTGGACTTTGTCTCAGTTATTCTTGGTAAATATTAGTTTTGCCTAAATAGTCAACTTATATCCTGCTAAAAGTAGCATGCAAAGCAGTTGGCACTAGAATCCTTGAATAATTAACGTCAAGATGATCTCTTTTGTTGCTGATCTATGGTGGAGGAAAAGGAGATTAAATTTACAGTTAAATAAATACGTATGTTTTGCATGATCACTTAAGTGGATTTATGCATTAGTTATTCTCTGTAGGTCCTAGTTTCTTTATCTATATACTGGAAGCCTTAACATCAACATCATAAAATATTAGAAGTATTTTAAATGAGATAATAGATGAATACATTATACATTATAAATCCTCAGCATAGATAAATTTTCTTTCTACCTTTGTGGTTTCATGGAGTTAGCAAATTTTTTTCTAGAAAAACATTGCTTTTCTTCTTTGATCTATTCTTTGCTTATCATTCTTCCAAGTTATGAAGCCCACTTTCCCAAGCATAAAATATATAAACTACTACATGCTTTCTGTGTATACTATATATATATATATATATATATATATATCACATCCATGCATATAGCCAGTAATTCTGCTAATCTATCATACAATTAGATGATTACAGTTAATAAAATGTAATATATACTTTAAAATTGTTAAAGAATTGTATATACACTTCACAAAAATTATATGTGAATTGATGCCTATCTACACTTATTTGCTTATCAGCCTCATTGGCTTATGCCAAAATGTATACATGTATTAGAATATCACATTGTGATTTATCATAAATATATGCAATATTTCGTCATTTAAACTAAAAATTAAATAAATTTCTTTTTCTTTTAGGACAGGAACAAAAAATATATTTTGATAATAATACATACTCCTGACTATGGTTGCTTCTATTACTTTCTTATAAGGAGTTAAGATGTATAATTTGCATGCTAGAGTTATAGCTCAGTGGAAGCTTAGTATTTCCTGCATTCATTTCCCAATATACCTCCCCCGCGTGTACATACACACACACACACACACACACACACACACACACACAAATTTATAATTTGATATTTGTTTCCTATTGAAGTTCAAATTGATGTTGGCCGATCTGGATAAAGAACTTGCATCTGGTCTTCAGATGACAGCTATGGTGGAATATCATCCTGATAAAGATGAAGATACTTTTGATCAACTATTCATTTTAGTGGGAAATAAAGCAATAATTGTCCCGCTAATTGGGTATGTAACTTTCATGTTTCATGCTGACATTTTTCATAGTTCTAATGTAATAAAAATTAAAATAATCTATATTTTCCTTGACTGGTGAGTATAGTTTCCTTAAAATTAAATTTAAATGATTAAAAAAAAAAACTGTAGTGTTTGTGACAAATGTAAGCCTCATTCTTTTTATTTAAATATTTTAAGCATTGATCATATGAGTGTATTGTTAAGTGAATTTTATAAGGTCTTAGACCTGTATAATTTAATTTTAAAGTACAGTATTATCATATTTACTTAAATAAATAATAGTTAAGACATGTTTGACTTAAAAATCAAAACTTTTGTTTTTAGATTTGTCAAAAAATATGAACAATCTTTGTTCTTTTTTAATATGTATATATACACACACATATTAGATAAGATAGTCATACTGTTGAGTTTTATTTCATTGAAAAAATGGTTTGTGCTTATATTGTTTGATCAATTTTTCATTCCTATGTCTTGTAATCTGAGGAACCACTTCAAATATCACAACACAATTTACTAAACATAGTTACTCCCCTACAGTCTTGTTTTAAAATTTTATACTTGGTTTTACTGTTTGTTCTTTGAAATAAAAAATAGAAAAAATGTGGAAAGTCTAATGAGTATTAAGTCACTAATTTGCAATTAATTTTGATACAAATTATTCACTTGACAGAGTGAATGATTCATTATTTCATTTTGTACTGAAAAAGTATATTTCTTTTTTTATTTTAAAAAACTTTATTATAATGTAATTTACTCATTGTAAGTGTACAATTTAATCACTTTCATACATTTCTAGTTATATGACAATTATTTTATAATTTGCAAACACTCCAACCCATTTTAATGTGTTTTTAGAAAACAATGGGCTCTGTTTACTCAAAGTTGTACAATCTACATGCCTTTATTTCTTCTTTGCTTACCATTTGAGAGACTTTTGGAGTTGAATCATAGGTTTGTGCCTAAACTAAGCTATAAACTTTACTATTTACAATATACATATCTTCTTTTTTATTAATTTTATTGAGAAACAAATAGCAATGAGACAGTTTCAAAACAGGTTAGTGCGACAGCTAAGATAATTAATACATTGCGTATTATTGTCTTTGTAGTAGTTATTCATAGTACAAGATACAGACATGATATCCTGTCCAAACACTATTAGTACAAATATTTCTTCTCATTGAATTAAGAGAAAGTAGCTGTATGTCTATCCTATTTTGTATATACAGATACAAAATGGTTCTTCATTTTTATGTCTTTTGTGGTTTAGTTTTGTCAGAAATGGGTATTCCATTGCCATTCAAATGTTATAGGTGCGTGAATTTAGCAAAATAATCCAATATAATCCAGTAGTCTATAATAGTAGTAGGTTATCCATATGACTGGCAATGTCAGAAGTTGTTGACTTGAGCCTTTTACAGCTTAGCATATTGACATGACTTTACTTTTTATATCTCATTTTTATACTTTTCTGCTGGATGATTAAGACCAAGATAAAGCAAGACCTATATAACATGAAATTTAACTTTTGTGTCTGACAAGGTTAGTCAAATCCCCTCAGAATTTATGCTGAGACCCTGTACCTCATATTGTAGATCCTTTGTCAGTGTGAGCCTTATGATGAGTCATGTCCATTGCTTGACCAATTTGCTCTCTGTGAAAGCCTGAGAGAATGTTTGCTCTCCATGTGACTCTCCTTAGGCACATTATACGTTGTTGCTCACTTTTCTCTCTGGCCCCATTTGGGACACCACTGAGTTACAGGAAGTCACAGTACAGGTTCTCTAATGTGCTGGGTCCTCGTTGACCTTCAGTGGCTATCGTCAAAATGTTGCTGTCCTTGCAGCTGTTCATTTTCCTCTAATTGCTTGGTCTGCAAACTTAAGTCATTAACCCTCCAGAAGAGAGGCTTAGTGATATTATTACACTATAACATAGGCAGCTGAGCTTAACCTCACTATCTGTCTGAATATCAAACAACGTGGACATAACATGGAACAGGTCTTTTCCATCATGTATTGATATGTTCAATTTTAAATCTCTACAGAATGTGAAGAAAATAGAAAAAAAAAGTAAAAAAAAATAGGTGAAAAAGTGTATTTCTGTTAATTGTAAAGATACTACCAAATTTAATAAAACTTATAATGATTTATATGTATACATACATTCATAATCTTTTTCTTTCCTTCATGTAAAATGTGATTTTATAGAGGTTATATTTTGGTCTGTGTTTATCCACTAGCTAGAGTTAATATTGGAATATTGTCTACTTATTATATGTGTTTGACATATGCTTTTTTATAATTTTCTACTTTTTAAAATTTATATAAATTAATTTATAGTAATAGTTTGATTTTTCATATTATTGAGAATTTCTGATTTCATACACCATCCAACTCTGCATAGGAATCAAGATACTTGGCACATGATAAGAAAGCTGTTAACCTATCTACAAATATTTAATTTACTTTTTAAATTTAAGTAGGACCTTTTTAGTCTCTTTTACACTTTGACATCTCCTATTACTGTATCACTCAGATTTTCTTGTTTCAATGAATATGCAGATCAGACCTGAATATTTTTTGCCCTTGAATACAGAGATTTCATCGTGTTACTGTAATGTATATCTTCTCTCATCAGCAGTGCATTTCTTCCCAGAGTTGCAACATAAATACAGCACTTCTTCCTTTCTGTGTTATGGACAAGGCAGAAGGAAGGGTGTGTGTTTATGTGTGTGTGTGTGTGTGTGTGTGTGTGTGTGTGTGTGTAAAAGAGAGAGAGAGAAATTGTTAATATGCCATTTTATTTTTATTTGATATAACTGAGATTTTACATGCAAATAAGGTTAATGTATGATACTTTTTAACCTATAAATGACTATCCAAACATCAACTAAATGTATCCTCATGAAATGTATAAGATGATAATTAATTTTTATATCATGTATGGAAACATGCTACATGTATATTATAGTGACTACTTTAGAATAGAGATACATGAAAAATCAATTGTATAATTCTGTACTTAGATATTGTTTTATACCAAAAATTACATGTTACAGCCTTAGTCCTCTTATCATATTTTAAATCATTCAAACTATTTTACTTTATTAAGGTCAGTTCCACTTTTTTCAGAAGTATCAAAAATACATCAAGAGAAGATTTCTAAAAAAAAATTTCAAATGCTTTTTAGGTAACCCAAATATTTAAATAAGTATACAGCTTATCAAACTTAACTTCTTACAAGTGAATACCATGCATAAATTTAAATTTCTTTGTTGAAAATATAGTTCACTTTTTCATATCTTTCTTTCCCTAAATCCTTTTATTAATAACTATGATCAGTAAATTTTTTTAGGAAATATCATTGCCTAAATTGCCTTTTAAGGTGGTAAAATTATCTATATATGTCCCTCTGGATTTAAGTAAAGAGCTATTCTGTTTATTACAATTAACTATATGGACCTTTATTAATTTTCTCAGGTTGATTCCGTGTTGTGCATTGGAAATTGAGTCAGTAGTTGATTTTGGCATATTAGTTTCGAATAGTAAAGTACATTCTAAAGAGATTAATATTAAAAACCATGGCACACTTCCAGGTAAGTGCTTGCAATTGTATAAATTCACTTACAGTTTTAGATGAAATTTTCATTTTAAATATGCACATTGCATTATTAATAGATAAACTGTTTGATTTAATAATCTATCTCTTATTTAAAATAGCTTAAGACCAAAGATCATTAAAAATGTGTGTCTGAAAAGAACAGTTAACACAATAATAAAGGAAAAGTACATCTATCTACTTATGATCCTGATTAGCATAACTGATTCTCAGATGAAGGGTGATCTCCATGTGGATAGGAGTTAAGATGGTGCCATAGAAGTGGCATTGTTTATATAGCTACCTAAAAACAGAATTAGGGCATGATGCTTTCTTAGTTGTGTGATATGGTACAAATTTCTTCAAGGATGTTGAAGTTGAGAAATTGTATTTATCAACTAGGATTTTTTTTCAACGAGGATTAATAAAATGTATGATGTCTGTCTCATGTACACACTTAGAGCTGTACATGGTACCTGCCTTATCAGAGCACACGATAAATGTTTGTCCTCTTTCTCTCTCATAGTCAAGATTGAATTCACATCATAGTGTCTAAAAGACGTTTAGCAATTTTTTTCCTGAAAGAATAAATGTTTCTATTTTCCCCAGATTCTCTTCTGAAGACTGGAATTCTAGTGATTGTTACTGTGGGCTAAGTTTCCATAAAAGTGTGTGTGTGTGTGTGTGTGTGTGTGTGTGTGTGTGTATGCATCATACAAACTATTGATGACATAGTGTGTGTGTGTGTGTGTGTGAGTGTGCATCATACAAACTATTGATGACATAGTATTTTCTCTTTCTAAAACATCTAAAGAGGGGCGGGGGAGATGGCTCAGTAGAATAAGTGCTTGCCTGGCAAGCTCAAGGCCTGAGTTCAATCCCCAGTTCTGCAAAATAAATAAATAAATAAATAAAATATCTAAAGATGAGATATGTGTATGTACAAATTACCCAATCTTAAGGTAATTAGTACATATCACTTGATACAAATACAATCTCTCAATCATGTACCAGTGTGACATATCTGTAATTCTTCAAAGCCTTAGTAACAATAATAGAAGCTTTTATTCTAAAATATCACCAAATTTTATAATTTGTATAAAACAAATATGAATTTCATTAAATACATAATATTACTTAATACAATAAAAGAAATAAAATGAAGGTACCTATCTGGGTCCACATAGTTAGAAAGAAATAATCTATATTGTTACTAAGTGTTATTGTATTTTATGAACATGCAGTATTTGTACTAACTTGGTTAGATGTGTTTTAATTGAATACTGTGAAATATTGATTGCTCTTACCTTACAAACTGAAACAAACCTCATCTATCAGAACAACTATTTGACTTTTGACAAATAACTGAACATTTCTAAGCATCTATTTTCTTATTTGTAAAATGAAGATGAATTACTGGATGTTTATTGAATGATATCATTATTTAATTGCATAGATATGCAGTTTATTAGCATAATTTTTGAACATTGCAAGTAGGTAATATCTTTAACTGTTGATGAATGTTAAATTCTAAAACTAAGCTCACATTTTTAGAGTGAACTAAGTATCTATCCCTGATTGAGAATCTGAATGCAACATTGTAAGAGTAGATGCAACTTGAGTACATACTCATAAGTGAAGTAAATCAGACTCATATGTGTAAATGTCATATTGTTTCCCTGGTGTGAGAAACTGAAAGGGTAAGTAAGCTCTAAAATGTACAATAGATATTGTGAAATGGGAAGAGATTTTTTTCAAAGGAAAAAGGAACAAGGATGGGTGAAAGGAGAAAGGAGTAGGGAAAATGAAAAAAACTGGAAGTCAGTATTAGTGTCTTTTGTTCATTACAAAAGAAGGCTTCTTTGTGCTAATGTCAACTAGAGAAATTTTTATGTGCATATCTAGTACCCTGAGGAACCACTTTGAAGGCAACAACGTGTAATGTATTAGCTATGGTTTTTGTTCTATTATTTTGAAATTTTATTTTACCTTTTCTCCAATAAAATAAAAATAGAGTTTATATGAAAACTATCACCTTTACTCTACTTAGGTATGTTTAATGTGGAATACCAGGGCCAGTTGCCTATTAACATTTCTCCAGCCTGTTTTGCTGTGAGTCCTCAGTCTTCTATGATGATTAAAGTAGATTTCTGTGCAGATCAATCTAGACTTGTAAATGAAATGGTAAGGTAAGTGTATATTTATGCTTCTTAATTCTCATATGATTCTCTTTCCTTTTCCACCCTTCAAATACACCCTCATTTATATATTAGTTGCTTTTTCTTTTATTTAGTATTCACTCTTCAAGATGGTACTATTTTCCAAGTACAGTATCAAACATGGGAAGAACTAGTGTCTGGGCATATGAACATAAAATAGGAGCCTCTAGGTTGGATTTTGTGGAGGTAAGGGAGAGACCAGGGGAGCACTCTATTAATAAGGTAACATACATATGAGTGATGTGATTGAGTGTGTTTGTCTGTCTAGGTGTAGAGGAAGTGAATACATTGATGGAAATGAGTTTATAGGAGTTACTTCAGGCAGAGCAAGCAGTATAATTGAAATATTGACAGTTTTTTGTTTTTTTTTTTTTTTTTTTGTGGAACCGGGGATTGAACTAAGGCCCTTGCACTTGACAGGGAAGTGCTTATTCTACTGAGCCATCTCTCTGGCCCCAATACTGACAGTTTTATATATTGAGGGATCTGAGACAATACAAAATTAAACAGAAATGCTGAGTGATGCAAAATGGAAAGATGATTTGGGGAAGGAGAGGGAATGTAGTGGTCTTCTAACTGTGGAAAACTTGTTATACCCAGCTGAATTGAACTAGCGTGGTGCTGGGTGTGGGAAGTCAACATCAGGGTTGTTGCCAGCAGCGTAAGAGAGAACAGAGAAGATGTCAAGACTTTGTTAGGGAAGCTGTTTGGAGAAGCTGTTGGAGCTTTTGGAAGCTACTGGTTGTCTTGGGCTGTTGTGCTGGAAGCCCTTGTCATGCTGGCTTACCTGATGAACTTGGCAGTTCTTTTCTGAGGAAGAGCTTGGGCCCTCATCACTGAGAATGGCTGCAGTTCATTTTGGCTTAGCTCTGGCCCTCATCTTAAGCATTGTTTCCTGGCTCCAGAGGGGAAGATGGTGCACTGACCAGTCTCGTGGAGAAGCTTGTCACATGGGCTTTATTGATGGGAACTCAGCTTTACGCATCGCTGGAGCAGCTGGGGACCTCACTGTTGCTGAGAATGGCTGTAGTACCTTTGCAGGAGTTCTGGTTCTTACCTTGAGCTTTGCTTCTTGGCTCTAGTTCAGATCCCTCAGCTTGCTAACACAAATGCTTCATCCCGCCAGCACAGACTTTATAGTTTCCACCACTGACCTTTGGGACCTTCCAACACAGATCCGTGAAACAGGCCTGCTTGAGACTTTGTCATGGGCTGTAGGTCTCCAATTAGACTTGTGGGAGACATTGTTATGAGCCCTAGGGTTTCAGGTGGACTTATGAAGGATATTAGTATCCAGGCCCACAGCTGGATTTTT